AAAAAAAAACAACTCCCAATCAAAACTCTAATGGCAGTCAAATTTTAAGAAAAAAATGTAAAGATCGGAGATATGAAGTGCAAATATGAAAATGCTAGTGTATAGGACATCTGATGTTGTATAAATATATATTAAACTCATTATTAAATTTAGTAAATGAGCATCTAGTCTATATTTTGGAAAATAACGTATCTATACATTCAAACGTCTCACTTGTATTTTCATGCATATTTAAAGTATACTTATTTATAAATAAAAAAATCAATTTTCTCATAAATAAGTTGATTGACAAATGGTGCAATGGTGAAGATGATTTATAAATTTCTTAATTATTTTAGCTTTTTTTAATCAACATATTTAAAAATTTTAATTCCAAATTTTTAGATAATTTGATAAATTAAAAAATATTTTATATTTTGAATTTAGAGATTTAGGATTTTAGGTTTCAAGGTTTAGTATAGTAACTTTATTTTCTTATATTATAAAGTTATCTTTTTTAAAAAAAATTATTTGTATATTATAAACTCGATAGCCTTTTAATTCGGTGCTATATCCCAATAATATTTCTCATATAGTATTGCTTTCAAGCTTGTGTCTCTTTTGATCTGGAACATGTATGTAGTGGATAAATCCAAATACTCTTAGATGTTTAATTGATGAATTTCTTTCACTCAAAACTTCAATAGAAGTCTTGCCTTATATTGTCTTGGTTAAACATCTACTTTGTATATAAATTGTAGTGTAGACTAGGCCCAAAAAATGCTTTAGCATTGATCTTACCATTTCCATGATTGTGCAATTTTTTCTCTTTAAGACACCACTTAGTTGCATAAAATATGCAACTGTAAATTGTTGCTTAATACCTTTATCTTCAAAGAACTTGTCAAAATTGTGTGAGTTGTATTCTTTGTCTTGATCACTTCTAAGTACTTTTATATATTTTTCACATTACTTCTCCACGAGAGCTTTAAACTTCTTGAAGATTCCAAAAACTTATATTCTTTCTTTAAGGAAGTAGACCATGTCATTATAGAAAAGTCATGTAAAAAGGATGAAGTACCTATTGTTGTAAAGTGATGGTATCCTCATCAATCTACAAATGCCAATGTGGATCAACTCCAGTAAATCTTTTGCTCTTCAGACTTTTATGGTAAAACAATAGTTTGTGTTGCTTTCCCATAAGACATCTTTCACATGCTTCATATTTTTTTCCCTAAAAGCTAGAAGATCTCCGCCACATTCTTTTGATATAGCAACTTTAAGACTTGAAGTGACCAAATCTTTGATGCCATAACCATGAATCACTAACTTGCATTTTCATGACGATGTTAGTAGTATATTTGAAATTTATTGGAAAACCTCTATTTCCCTTTTCCATTTTAACTTGAGTTATCTCACCTTTTGTCATATTAGATAGCACATATATTTCTTTTAAAGTGAAAAGCATGACCTTTCTCCATCATTTGGAGAATGCTCAATAGTTTTTCTTTAAGATTAGGAACAAGTAAAGCAACATTAACGAGTCTTGCACCTGTCTTGGTCTCTACCATGATAGTGCCTTTACCTTTTGACTCTATCATAGTGTTATTTCCCAATCGTACTTGAACTTTAATAGAGTCATCAATTTCTTTGAAGATGCTTTGATTATTAGCCACGTGATTACTGCACCTGCTATCCAGGTACCATTTCCCTTTTGATTTATCATTGGAATATCGAGTAACATAGAAAAGATGTTGCTCATTGTCTTGCTCTTTGGTAAAAATTTGTTTGTTGTTGGATTTTGTTGCGGCTTTTTCCCACGTGTCCAATTTTTTTTACAATGTTGACATTTAGATTTTTCATGATGCCAACAATCTTTTTTTGAGTGACTTGTCTTTTTACAGATGCCACATGGAGGATATTTTCCTTGATTGGCCTTAGAAAACCTTATTAGTGTGTTTAGATGAAGAATTTTACAAATTTAAAGAATTTTAAATTCTTGGTATTTGAATTACTTTAATTTCAATTTCTATCATTCTTAAAATATTTTGTTTGGATAAGTCAATTCAAATTTCTCAAATTTTAAATTGTTGAGTTGAATATGATAATTTGATTCCACCATGGTAAAATTTATTTTAAAAATATATTTATATGTTGAGATTTTTAAATTAAATTTTATAAAAAAAAATATTAGTTAATTTTTAAATATTTAATAATTTTAAAAATTAATATTAGATAATATTTAATAAATTTAAAAATATTTTTGAATATTCAATAATTAAAAACATGAAGAGATAAGAGATAAGATAAAATATATAAGTGAAATAAGAAGAAAAAAAATGAGGAATTTCAAATTCTTACTTTTTTTGGAGAATTTGAAATTCTTCTATTTTAAGGAATTTCACAAATACTTGAATTTCAAATTCCTTATAAATTCTCCATCCAAACAAGGTATTTCACCTCAAAAAATTTGAAATCATTCAAATAAATAAATTACTCCATTTAAATTTCCCATCTAAACATACTATATTGGTTTTTCTTCATTTATAAAAATTTCTCTAGTGCTTTTATTTCCTCCATATATACTTTATTTTGAGACTATAATTTTAACTTTGATCGAAAGACATTTTGATAGAGTCTTCTTCATGTCACTTCGATCTTTGTTCATAGGCATTAAGAGAGTTCATTAGTTGTGTTACTACTAATAACATAGACAAATCTTTTATTTGTTCAATTGTTTTCGCAATTGCATCATATTTATGGGGAATAAAAATTTAAATTTTTTCAACAACTTTTTTGTCAAAAATATTTTCCCCACAAGCCCTCACTTGACCAACTATTTCTTTTTATTATAGAATAGTAGTCTTTTATGGTCTCATACTCTTTAATTTTTCTTAATTCAAACTCACGTCTTAGAAAATGAAGTTTAACGTTATGTACCTCATTACTTCCTTTAAACTTTTATTGTATCGTGTTCCAAGCTTCCTTTGTACTTGTGACACCCATCATTATTGAAAAAATTGTATCATCAAATGCTTGTTGAGAAACAAATAAAGCCCTTGAATCTTTCTATTTGTTTCCCTTTAACTCCTTCCTAGAAGTTGTTGTAAAAGTTAAAGAATCTTTTAGAATAATAAATCCATCTTTTATAATGTCCCATAAATTTTGAGAGCAAAAAACATGTCTTCATTTTGACAGTAGGAAAATCATAATTTTCTCATGTGAAAATAGGGATTGAAACAAATGATGTTGGTTTGTAGTGCCATAGGTTGAAAAAATATTTTAAAAGTAGTATAAAATATAGTTGAATTTTCTTAGAAGTAGTTGGGAAATTTATTTATGCCTAATTGATGACCAAACATAGCTATGGTATCTCTAATAGTTTTTAGAAACAGAGTGCTAATTGTTGAATTTGATTGAATGTAGGAACGTTAAAAACAGGGGAGTTATTGTTGTGGCGTGGATTTGAGAAATAGTTTAGGTGATGGATAAGATTTTGATAGTTAACAATGTGAGTTAATTTGATTAATGGAGGTGTATACTGATAAGTGTCAATTTTATCAAAATAACTTAACTTTTTTGACACTTATTTAACTAATTTTGAAAGAAATATGTGTTTTACTCCTAAGCTATTACAAAAGTCAAAAGATTATGTAAATTAGTTAGTTTATAAATGAATGATGAAAATTTTACTTAAACATTTGTTTTATGTCGTGTAAGATTCAATAAAGATTCAAAGTATCAAAAAACTCCAATTTGATTAGGTTTTTGGAAAATGACTGATATATAAGAGGTCACAAAGAAAATATGTACAAGTATATAAAAGGTGTTGGGTTAATATATTTAATGACCCAAAGTTCAAGATGAGTTAAGGCCCGTTAACCTTGACATGAGTCCAATCATTTTAGGCACTTATTATCTTTCTCAGTCCTCTAAACTCTTTTTTGATGACACCCTTTAGCATGATTTCATCATTCTCTCTCTTTTCAAAAAGTATTTGTTCTCAAATCTATAACTCTCTCTTCCTCTTCAACTCCCACAAAAGATAATTTTTCACAAGTGCTAGATATGTGATATGCTTGCCAAACAAGGGGACATATCCTAGACTTCCTTTTATGAGGAATCTACATCGTTTGTAAACTTAGAGCCCTTTAGTTAGATTTACCAAGCTGTAATGTTAGTTTCATTTCCAAATTAACAGACTCAGTTGTTCATAATCTTGCTAAGGTAGTTGATGGTAATGCTAATCTTTTTGATTTTAGTCATATCCCTTATTGTATTATATGAAAATTATTAATGAGTCGAGTAAAGTCTCTTCTTCTAAAAAAAAATCTTATAATTTATTTAATTTGATTATGAATCATACTAAACTAAAAAATATCTTTCTCATTATTATTATACTAGCAAAATAAAGATATTTCATGTATTGTGAATATTGTGTAATTTATAAAACTATAGAATTGTCTTATGAATATCGTATATGGAAGTTATAAAATTGCATAAGTAAATTATGAATAATGTGTGTGGAAGTTACAAAACTACAAAAAAAAATTATAATTTATTAAAGAAAAAATCGTTTTGGACAAATAAAATTATTAAATTATCCTATATTAAAAGAAGATCGTGGAATCATCAAAATAAATAAAAAATAAAAATATCCTAAAAATAAGTATACGAAAATATTATATCGCTTTTATATATGGTTATATATAACTAAAATCTTTGATAAGTTATCTATATAAATAATATTATATTTAAATATATAAGTTATATTTAAATTTAAATAATTTAATTATTTAAATATATAAATCATATTTTTAATTTATAATATACAAATATTTTTATTTTTTAATAATTAATTTAAAAAATATTAAAATATAATTTGTAAATATTTACGATAAATAAAAATTAAATTAAATATAAAGTTAATTTTCTAAGAATCTGTTATAATTTTTTTGAGGTATTGATTGCATTTTATATATAAAGCTAATAAATCAAAAGCTTCCCTCGTTCTCAAAACCACAAACCTTACTCTGCAGAAACCTAAGAGCCCGACTCCCATTGCTTTGATTTTTCCGGTAACGTCACGGAACCTACTCCCTGACGGCCTGACCCTTACGAAGCCGTCGGCCCACCGCCGTTAGCGTTGGCAACGCTGCCGCGGTAGCCAAGCCCCTTCCTGTTCGCGTCGACCTCGCACAAGCGACCTCCGCTCAAGCCCGCCTGCGTCGGAAGCCCTCCGCTTCCTGTTGTTTGCGTTGCGCTCGCCGCACTCCACACTCAGGTTAGTACTCCGCATTCGCCATTTCATGTTGGCTGCTCTATTGCACTGTAATTATTTAATTTTGGCATTCATAGTAGTAATTTTTTCATACATGTTTGGCACCAGCAGTTGCTTTTGTGTATTTTTTTTATAGTATTTTTTAATGTATGATATGAATTTTATTGAATTTGTAAGTATGACATGAATATTTTTATAAAAAAATTAATAGAAATTGGATTATGTGGTTTAATTAGTAGCAATTCATCATCACTCTAATTTTTAAAACACTGGTTCAATCATGCATTAGTTTTTCATACATGTTTGTCATTTGCATTTGGCTGTTGGGTAATTCATTTTTTTGGGACTTCTTTTTGGATGAGTTTTATTGAAATTTATACGAACGAAATATTGACATGATTTTCAAAAAATAAATTTACAGAGACCGTGTCATAAAGTGCCTGCGTGCATATCAGAAGCACAAGAGTCTACGAACTCAAAACCTCGCCAAAAACCTTCAACACAGAGCGGCAGAGAGAGGTTATGGACTTGGACGACTTAGAAGAGCTGGCCAAGGCCCCTGCTCGAGTCTCCAAGTTCGCGCCAAAATCATCTAAGCTCAAACCCAAACCGAAATCGGAACCTGCACCCAAACCAGAACCCCAACCCCAACCCTCCATCTGCAAACCAGAGCCACAAGAGTTCGTTACAACTGTCAAAAAGAATGAAGATGGTGTGGAAACCGTGGCATCAACTCAAATTAAGCTTGAACCCAACAACACTGTCAAAATGGACATTGAACCTAAATCTGAGACTCAAGACGAACCAGAACAAGAAGATCCCATGGATGTAGATAGTGCTGAAGACACAGTTGTGCGTGAAATTGATGTCTTCTTCTCACCTTCTATTGATGCCGAGACTCAGGTCTGCATTTTGCGTGTTTGATTTTGCATTTATTTTTTCAATTTCAGTGTCTAATTTTTCTTTGTTGGTTTTAGTTATACGTTTTGCAGTATCCATTAAGACCTTCTTGGCGACCGTATGAATTAGATGATGAGCAAGGCACAGAGGTAAGTTTATGAGTAGTTCTTTAGGAGGAGAAAGGGGGAATCATGTTAAGTTGGTGTTGGTGTTGGTGTTATTGTTGTTTTTTTTTTTTTTTTAATTGTGTAGGTAAGGTTGAAGCCTAGTAGTTCTGAAGTGGAAATTGATTTACCTATCGATCTTGATTCACCTAATATTGACAAAGAGTTTGCCAACAAATACAACTACACGAAGCAGGTTTGTTCATTATCTCTTACCATGTTAACTCAATAGTGTTCCTTATTTACCGCTGTGATTGCCTCTAATATCAGCAATACAACAATTGTGCATTCCTGTTGTTTTACAATAAGTGAAAATAAAATAACATGGTGATTTGTTAAATACACAATAACAAAGGCTACATGACTCCTTCATTTTAACTTCTTGGGATAAAATTAAACTTTTTGAAAAAACAATTAGTCTTCTTTATGAATTCAAGTTTCAACATTGGACAAGATATATAATTCATCTTTGTCCGGAGTCTATATTGGTAAATTTTTTACAAAATTTACCCTTATTTCAACTTTAATATATTTTGGGCCACACTCAACAAAATAGTCAGCCAATTATCCAAGTGAGTCAATGATAAATAATTTAAGTTTATCTCAGAGATCTGTTTGGTCATATTTTTGAAATGTGACAGATTTTTTCCTTAGTTATGACAAAATGAAGTATAGGATGAGGGACGAAAGCTGTCACATTTTAGAAGTACCCGGACCAAAAATTTTAAAATGTAGGGCTTAAAATCATTTTTGATCAAATCCTGAGGAACCTAAAACACATTTTACCCAAAAGAGTTTATAGGAGTTACAAGCCATTGGCATAAGGCCAAAAGAGCTCCTCATAAACACTTCCTGGTGCTTCCTTAGTGCATAAATGGAGAGACAAAGGATGGGATTAGAATTGCCTTAATTATGCAATTTTAATAGCTTGACAATGTTACTGGTGCATGATATATGTTACACTTCAATTTTCAACACGTTTATGTAGTAGTGTTAGATATGTCATAGTTAGTTTCTGATCATTTCTTGATTGGATATGCAATGGAATTTTAGCTTGTGAAAAGCTTGCTAATCCACGAACAGAAAATCTGCTGCTTTGCTCGCAAAAAGCATATTGGTTTTTTGAAATATTGCAATGAAGCACTAAAACTCTGGAAAAGTGCCTTTCTATGTTTTTAAAATGTTGTTTTAGGCTACCAAAGTATGAACAATTTTTTTGTCAAAACATTATGACTTGAATCAACGGTATATTTTCTAATTTTATAGACCCCAAGGCATTGTTTCAACTTTGATCCATTCTTCTGATTCCATCTGGTTCAATAATGCTTGGTTGGTGTTATTGTTGTATTCTTTGTTTCTTATTTCTATTTTTATTCCTTGATATGCTAAACCTTTTTGTTTGTTAAATTGCCTGACAAACTTTTAACAAACAAGAATATTCAAAGTTTATGCTTTCAGTTGAGTGCCTTATTTGTGCACCTTTGGTATTAGAAAAAACGCAATATTGTGTACCTTTGAAGTATGATGCAATGCTTTTAATTCTCTTCAGACTTTATCAACAAAGTGGAAGCCATCTCCTGCCAATGGGTGTGCTGTTGGGCTTCTTATGGGTGATAAGGTAATTATGTTTCCCATTCTTTTTTATGATATGTAATTTAGCTTCAGGTTGATACATTACTTGAACAACATTGTATCAGGCATGCCATTGCAACATGGAAGATTATTGTTCTTGTTAGATATAGTTTATTGTACATTTAATACTTATTCCAATAAATTAGGATACTTGACTTTCAGTGGAAATACTTATAAGGATGAGTTTCTTTTGGTTTTGGATGAGATTTATCTTATTCATGTCTTGAAGAAAAGTAGGAGCAATCACTTAGTGTGTTTCTTATTGTAAAAAGTTCGTTGAAAAACTAATGCAGTGAGGAGTACTTTACAAAGTATGCTTCAATAAAGAGTGAAAAGGGGGAAAACTAGGAATACACAGCATGCCTTGAAATCAACTTGGCACCTCCTTTTGTATACAATTAAAAACCTTGGAATGTCACCACAAAAAGAAAAAAAAATTGAACATGCTGTTGTGACATCTTACTGGGTTTGTTATTATGTGTTAGATTCATGCATGATTAACCCATAAACCTTGATATGCTTTATATTTACTTATTGCTGATTATATTAGCATTTTAAAATTTTTCACTTTTTCAGACTTTAGACTTATTATGCATCTATTACCATTTACCAATGACTTTTTCTTTATATATATATATATATGTGTGTGTGTGTGTGTGTCTTGTTTCTTCTGAGAGCTTGACGATTTTATGAATTGTTTCATTGTGATGTACAAGTATATTTTTTGATTTGCAAAATGATTGTAAATTTGCCTATCTTTTTCTTGGTTACAGTTATACCTGCATCCAATTCATGCAGTAGTGCAACTCCGACCGTCATTACAACATCTTAATTCTGGTGTTTCAAAAAGGAAGAACATTATCTCTGCTGAAGCAAATGCTACCGTGGGCTCAAATGAAGAAAAGTCTATTGCTACTTCAAAGAAGCAGGTATCATGTATTTCTTTCATTCATGCATGTGTTATTTAATTATAGCAATTTAGAAAGACTGCAAAAGTGCAAGGTGCATGACTTTTAATATTTTTCCATGTACATTTTAAAATGCTTAGATGATGTGTTTTAAGATGTATCAAAGTCCACCCCTCCCAAAACAAAAAGAAGAAAGCAAGAAATGTTTGGTTGCTGTTCTATGCTTTTAGGAACATTGGTTTTGTTGTTCATAAATTGCTAAATTTAATATTTATCCACCAGCATCTTGGTTCCATTTCTGCCAACTATGCTTGACATTAGACATATTTTGCTATCTCATCAGATGTTTATTTCTCGAGTGTCATGTTGCAGTATCACAACATCTCTACTTGTACTCTTTTTCTATGCTTCTTGTATTTTGTCAAGGCTTATTTGGCAATTTCCAATTAGCTAATAGATTTATTCTCTCTGTTGCAGAATAAGCAGACAGAAACTTCTATTGAGCAAAAGGGTGACAGTGATGAGGTATACTAGTAGTTAATTCTGCAATGTAATTTACGTAACAGTTTTGGGTTATAACAAGGGTTATGTTATTTGTGGAAATTACATAATTAGAAATCAGTCCCACATTCCAAATAGACTTAGAATCATTAGCCTAATTATTCTTATATATTGCATTTTGCATTATTTTTTTGCATAATTATTTTTATATAAATCATTAGGCAGAGTGTGTTTTTGAGTTTTCTCATAAATAGTCTCTCCTGCCTCAAATCATAAGTTAGCGATAGAGTGTGTTAATCTCATTTCTGCTGTGCATCTGTCCTGCCTCTGCAAGGTTAAATTTCTGTTGGAAGTCCATTGTTCCTCACACTTGGCTCATCTATTGTCTCCCTTATTGGAAGTTTCAGCCTGACCCTTTAGTCTTGTTGCTGGGAAACTTCGACATGCTGCTGCCATTTTGCCCTTTTCTAGGGCATTGTCTTCTCATTGTCGGAATTCATTACTGGTGGCTGCATTCTGCTTGTTGTTGCCCTTCTGAGTTTGTTCTGAGGGTCACCTTCCGCATTCTCCTTGATCTGTGTAATGGGTCTGAAACACAAAATATGCTCCTCCCATAATTCATGTCTTTTAACAAAACTCAAAATGCCCCTTCTCTTTTTTGCTTTCGCTGGAGCTTTGTCAATTATCTCTGTTAAGCTTAATGGCAACAATTATCTGGATTGGTGCTCAGCTGTTGAAGTTAGGTTCCTCAAACTGGGACTTTCTATACATTTGACATCCAAAGCTGAAGCTATTGATGCTTCTCTTAGAAGGGAATGGAAGAAAATAGACTATCAATTAGTGTCTTTGCTATGGCAAGCCGATGATCAAGTTCTCTTGGTCCACTAACCCTTGTTATGAGATTTAGTAAACATCTAGGAGTGTTTATTCTAATAATATCCAATATCTATGGCTTACTAGTACTCTATAATTTAGAACCTCCAAATGATCATGGTTTAATTTTCTTATTTGAACAAGGCCCAAACCATCATCCTGCAAATTAAAATGATTTTGACTAAAAATTGCTGGATAAATTAGGCCCCCATCTATACAGTGTTTGTTTTCCTTGGCCTTCACAAGGATATTGATAAATGTTTAAATTCAAATCCTAACATACTCAAACATCCCTATTGTGGGAGAGCTTATTGATTGTTGTTTATTTTGACTTTTCAAACATCCAAGTTGGACTCAAAGAAAATTTGCATTTTTTTTTACATTTGGTGATTGTGGAGGATCAGAATGTGGTCATGGAAAAGGTGGTTATGGTAAGTGGCCAGTAGCCACCATGCTTCTATTGTAAACATATGGAACATTTCGAGATTGCTGCTACTCTTTGCATGTTTTATAGGAAAATTTACAAATGTCTCGATCCTAGGTGTGATATCGAGAGAAAGAATGAACCTCTTCACTGAACAAGTTTTTCTAATCAAACAATGATTACAAAGAGTATTTCCAACTAAATGCGGTTCACTCAAGAATATGATAACCAATCCTAAGAGATAGTAAGAAATAGGGAAATCAATCCTGGTGGATAATGCAAGACCTTCTAAATTATGATAAAATATTTCATATATTCTAACAACTTCAATAAAAAAATTTACAGTTATAGGTATAAAGAATGAATGTAGGATTAGGAAGATGGTTATTTTGAGTGCTTTCTCCAGAGAGTGAGAATAATTAATAATATCTATTGAGTAAAAAGTTGGCATTAAAGGATTACTGCTTCTGATGCAACAATTAGAAACCTTAATGAACTTCTGTGGAAGTGCTTGCCATGTCATATGTTAATTTTTAGCTTTTTGAATGAAATGAATTGTAATATACATGTGCATGGATGAAAAACATGTTATTTGGAATATGAATTAGTTCCATATATTTGCATTTTCTGCCAAATGAGTTTCTTAATGGTGATTTTGTTTCTTAACATCATTTTGTTTATTTTTCCCTCCCGTTCTAATCACAGTTTTTTGGTTTCTATATTATATGCAGCGCTGGGTTCCTCTAAAGTACCACACCTCTAATAGTGATATCTCCTCTAGATATCTGCAGCAAATGGTGGTACAAGAAAGTTCTCCCATAAACTTTACAATGAGAGCGTAAGAATATGTCCTGTTGTCCTTTTACTCTTATGTTTTTGTAGATTACTAAATTTGGCAAGTTTGTAAATCTTTGATTCAAGGGATGATTATGTTGATGCACTGTGTCCTGGAGTGAGCAGCAACAATTTACCAAAGGGTCCTTCTAAAAGGTACTGTCTTCCTTTAATGTCAAGTTTATTTATTTTTTGGTCCTTACTTCTGATTATTGATTTGCCATTAGATGTTGTGGGTAGGACTGTCACTCTTTTTTCCTTCCGTATCAGCAAATGTGTCTGTTTCTGTCTATTTTTTTGTGTGATATTCTTTCTCTCCTTGTTTCTGCCCACTTCTTGGTAGTATGCTTATAGTTCTTTAATGCTATATCGATTTTGTTTATTGGTTTGTACTTTGTACTATTGCCTTCTTATAATTTTGAGTATCATGTGTGTGTTTATGTAATTTCAGGGATCTTCTATCATTGCCTATTGAAGAACGGCTTAAGAAAATGCTTGAGGTTTGTAACATTGTTTGTTTGAGTTTGATTTCTTTGTTTGAGAAAGGGGCATTTAGATCCAATAAGGTTCTTCATCTTGCTTCCTAATCCTATATACTTGTGCTTGCTTATAGTTGACTACATTTTTGACCACATATTTTCTATTCCCAATTCAATTCTGCTGTTTTATAAGTGTATGTTAACTGCTAAGTTATTAGTGAACATACTTATCAACAAATAACCTGGACATATGCACCAAGTTGCTCATTCACAAGATGTCAAACACTGAGCTTTCTGCTTTCTATATGAAAAGTGTTTTTATTTTACCTGGATGCTACAAGGTTTATAGGAAATATGTCATTGTTATGTATATATTTAACACGTGTTAGAATATCCATTGATAATACGTCCCTGTTTAGATGAGTTATTAAAGGATTTGTTGTTTTCTTCTCTTCTGTATGTGTTATAAATAAAGTGTAATTCTCACATTTCTGGTCTTAATTTTCTCAACTATGGTCCAACTGAGCAAAGTCACCACCACCAGAAGCCTTTTCCTTTGTGGTGGGGTTGGCTACAAGGATCAAATAATGCTGTAATCTTCTATTCTGATTCATGTTTCTGTGTGCTATTTTTTATGACATGTCTAACAGAGCCCTTTATGACAGAGTCGTCCACTTCATCGTTTCAGTGCTATTAAGCACTTTGCTCCTGAATACTCTGAGGAGGAACTTCTAAGATTCCTGCAGCAGCATGCAGTATTGATTTGGGGACTATGGACTGCAAAAAGTTCATTGCTCTATCCTCACGGTGGTGTGGAAACTTTTTCCAGAGATTATGCCCTACTATTGTTTAGCAAGAATTTGAAAGTTCAGTCTTCTGATGTGAATGTTCGAGGTGAAGTTGGTACTCATGTGAAGAACTTCCTAAAGATATTTGGCTTGGAAAGATATGATCTTAGTAAATCTACTGGACAATCAGTTCCTCACTGGAAGTTCAGAGAGCTTCCTGATGAGTCATTCAAAAAGCAGTATCCAAATATTGTTGAAAAACAGGAAGAACTTTTCAAAGGTTTGGAACAGTTATCTGGTTATGCTTCTAATGCAGGGAAACGTAAAATTGGAAAAAATGCTGTAGCAAACCAAGGTGTGAACAATGAGCTTATTAAATCAGAAAGTTCTGATCAACGGATATCAAGTCTGGGTCGAGTGCCTCCTGGGAGAATGACCATGTCAAATGAGACCCGACATGCTCTGCCAATTGCTCTCAAGAAACTTTTTCAGACTCACAAAGTTTGCAGGTATGGTTATAAACATCTATCCTTTGGTGAGTTCCCGTTTTCAGATGATTATTGAGATAGTTTTTGGAAGCACAAATATTGGTGGTTAACTTCATATTACTTTACAAAGCTCTCATATTTCAAAACTTGTGCTTCACATTTGTCAATACTTGATACTTTTTGTATGCATACGTTTTTCTTTTTTAAAATATCAGTTCTTTCTTTTTATCTTAGATTTGTGATATATGTTAATTTTATTTATTGCATTATATATAGTTGTGTTGTGTCTTGTTTTGTTAAAATGTTGTATGTCATTGTCCTGTGTTGTATAGATGTTCTCTAGATTTTAATTTATTCATTTGTTTTGTATTTCATCATGCTATAGGCTATTCATCCATTTGGGGGTATACAGACACAATGCACTATGCCTAACTTGATTTTTTTTTGTAACAAATTGTATTTTTGGCAAGACACTGAGATCATGAGGTGGTGTCTGTGCTCACACCCATTGAACATGTAACCAAGTCCCATGTGGCGTTGAGAATTTTGAAACAATTTCTATAAAGGAGGGACTGTTAAGCCCCATAGAACTGTGCTGCATATCAGGGCTGTGGTGCTTTTGGCTGGAAATCATAGTCTCGGACCATGCTTTTGATGGTTCTTTGATTTTTTTGCTAAGGAATAGAAGACATCTTTTGAGCTAATATTCTTTTATAAAAAAAAAATGTTTCATATCTGATTCCAATGTCTTGTTAATTGAAACTTTTGTTTTAAAGAGTAATAGAGAAGATATTTAGGGATTTATTGTGGACAAGGGTGGGTGATATGAAGAGATATAATCTTATTAATAGGGATTTGTGCTGCAGAAATGAGGGGGCTATGGGTCTGGGCATGTTCTGCTCTAAAATTATTTCTTTGGCAGGTAAAAGGCTGTGATGGTTTCCTTTAGAAACAAAATTATTCATGACAATTAGTTATTTGATTAAATCTGGTTTAGAATGGGATAGGTTCAAATACCAATCCAGCAATCTTTGCCACTGATGCTAGTCCTTGAAAATTCTTCTCAGGGATATGCATCTTTCTGACCACTTACTGAATCATTCTTAGTTAGGGTGAGGGAGATGGAGCGGGGAAAAATCTCTGCCAATTGACATTACCTTGAAGTGAATTTGGTCCATCATGGGATGACAGTTGTCTTATGCTGTTTATATTTATCTTGGCAGCTTCCAAATGATATGCCAAGGATTGCGTGAAATGGCAGTTTCCAAAACTATGCTTTCGAAGGGAGATTCTAAAATTGCTGTGGATGCAGCTCATAGTCTTGATGGTCCAGATAACGAGTTGAAGGCTGTCATCAGTGAAGTTGCATGTGATATCCATGGTTATTATGTGTTGAAATCATCACAAGATGAACCATTCAGGTGTTTTTTCTCTTCCCCACCCCACCCCCAAAAGTAAAAGAGAACATTGTTTTAACTCCATGGGTGGTCAACGAATTTTAAAAACAAGTAGCACATTCCATTTGTTATATAATTCTCATGACTGTATTGGTCTTTGCAGAGATGTTGTAATTGATTTGTTTCGTGGAATGGGGTCCCAGGCCAAGCTGAAGAAGGCCGAGATACTTGAAGCTGCAAGGAGAAAACTCAGTAGGGAGGTTACTAACAGTGAATATATCAAGGTAATTTGATCTTTTTCATGAGCACTTCGTAATTTGTATCTCAATTTTATCAGTGTTTTCCCTGATTAAGGTCCACGCACAAGCCTTATATGCCTTTTGATAAAGGCTCATAATGTTTCAACTGATTTCACTCTAGTTATGGTTGAAGATTTACATTGAATAGATAATTTCACCGCTAATTACATAAAAATGCAGTAACTATATTATAAACTAGCAAATACATATAGGACAAGTGTCATGAAATATTAGCAATAACTTTATAGATGTTTTTTGGGAATTATTCTGAATGAGGATCATATATGTAGGTGATAGGCTGTTTTTTATGATGGGTTTGTCTTCTTTCTGTTCCTTGTTTTTCTTGTGATTTCTAGCAAATGGGTTTTCTATTCTAGACCAATTCTTGCAAGTAATCTTCAGACACAATGAGCCAAAGAAAAAAAAAGGTGATACAATACTGCCCAATCTCTATACATGCCAGAAGTGTCAACTTCCTTTAATTAAGAATGATCGTAAGTACAGCCAAGTCCTATAATGTATTGGGGGCAGTGAGGTACCTTTTAAGATGCAATCATACAGCTGTAGCCAAATGGCCTGCAATTGCAAAACTTCAGTCTTTTACCTCCTTATTGCTGAAGCCTTTAAATGTAACTAGCAGAAGCTCTTCTAGAGTAGAATACCCACACTTAAGTCAAACCAAAATCCCCAAACTAAGTGTTCAATAAGAAAGTAGCCATCAAGTGTCCAATAGATTATGAACTAGAACGATACATAATGTACAAAATAGTCCGGGACCTACTGATTTGAGCTGTTAATTTGTGTTCGTTCTATTTAATACTACTGTCCTGGCAAAATAATTTTCTTTAGACGGAGGATTGAATTCTATAAATTTGTTTTTTTACAAGAAAAAATAAAAGCTTGGTGATTAGGGGAGTAGGTTTCAAATTGTAAGGAAGATTGACAAGGGGTAGAGTAGCTGAATCTTGAGCCAGAACACTATTATCATCAATACTCTTATTTCCATTTTTTTAGGGACAAGCAAGGTTTCCAGATTTCACTAGTAGTATCCTTAAGTACTTCTAGGCTCTATGCTGACATGTTGATTTCGTGAGAAGTTTACACAAATTGAATTGCATTTTAAGCCCTTAAACTTCGTAGTATTGTACCATGTAACATTGAAAGCTTTTCAGTGCTTATAGCTACGAGTTGATCGCGGCTGATAATATGTTGCATGTTTGAGCTCTATTTGTATCATAGAAAATTATTGTATGATTGATTGATTGAATAAAAATACAAATGAGAGGGGCTTTGAGCTCTATCTGTAGAGCTTTATTAGAGGTAATTAACTACTAACAATCATTCCTAACCAACCACCCAACTAACTAATTTCAATGGATTAATATCCTGTAACAGATCCACTATTAATTTTGAAAAAAATTCCAATGTATAAAGCTATCAAGTTTTATTCCATTATTCAATATACTCATGCATCCTACGCATGCATCTATTGTTAATGGGCAGGGTTAATGCATATATTGTTTATTGTTAACAATCGAACATTGAGTACTGGAACATGGAAAGGATGTAAAATAGCTAAGGTAGAAACAAGGGGGGGAACCTCGCACCACCTAAAACGTGTAGTTGCTTCAGACTTTGATTAATTGCTTTAAACAATATAAAAAAGTAGAATGAATGTCGCCTGCGTAGCCATATAAATTGAAATCAGATAATATGATCTTGACACGGTGTGAGCGCAAATAAATGTTGCGAAGTCATTCTTAAATTTAATGGTGTTTTCCCCTTTGTGGGTTAATATATATTGCTTATTATTCTAACCGTTTTGTTTGTCTATTTTCTTAAACACAATTTCAGGTGATGAGTGAGTTATGTGTCTCAAAAGGTTCTGTTTGGGTGTTGAGAAGCGGAGATGGAAGTTTGCAATGATCCAAGGTCCCGCTGATTGATCTGAGCAAAAATATTATAGGGTTTTATTCATAGTTTTTCTTTGACGGGAAGTGAAGGGAGCTCATACCACTGCTTTAGTCTTTAGGTTATTAATTGGTAATAGTCATCATTCTCGAACATGCTAATCTTTTCCTACTTTTTAGCTTCTAATAAGAAAATAAAATAGAATAGAGAAAATCTTCATTATTTGAATAGAAAGAAAAGGATAAAAGAGTGACATGAAAGAAAATAGAAATCGCAAGAGATTGCACCGTCCGCTAGTAGTGTTTCGCTAAATTGATGGAATTTATGCTGGCTTTTGCTTTCACTTGAGATTACGTGGGGGTTATTGGTAATTCGAACAAATGAGATTGTTTTTCATATTTTAACGAGTTTAACGGGTATGTTACGTATGTATTGAAGTGCTTAAACTTTTTACACAATGTTAACCAATTAGAAATCGTGTTTGGAATGAATTATAAGATGATTATTATCTGTCAAAAAGAAAATATAATTATTAATAAAGTTAATAAATCTATTATAAATAATTTAGATGTTTCTTATCATATAATAATGTAAATATTTTATAATGCCAGTGTATATCGTTGTGTATAATTCCTTTTATTTTTATTATATATATATATATATATATTTAGGATATAGGTTTTTCCCAACATTACATCGTTACATACAAGGGAACGTGAAATGATTTTATCCATGTTTTGAATATATGCATTTTTTCTATTACTTATTAGTCTGGATAAGGAAATAAAATAAAAAAGAACGAAAATGAAAATTTAATTAAAAATATTTTTAGTCGCAATTAACAATTAATTCATTCCATAGTCTATAAAGTTGTTCTATAACTTAGTTAGATTTAATTAGTCATTGATTTGATCCAGATATTAGTTTCATTATGTCAATGATCAAACTAACGAGTATGTATGTTCATCGAATTATATGAACTGATGTGTGTGTATGTTTGTTTGTGTGTAGGATTGAACTATTTTTATTATGCAAGCCCATACTTCATTATACAACACGAATGTTATCTATAACAACTATTGGTAATATAAGATCATAGTTAAATCATAATAACATGTAAACTTAAAAAATATATAAAATGTATATAAAGTGAGATAGAGCAATAAAATGGGAACGATATTGTCTTATGAAATAGATGAGAAATAAAGAATAACATCAAATAACTTGATTTAGATATACTCAATAAAACATTTAAAACTTATGAGTTGAGAACCATGAGTTGCAAAATCACCAAAGAGTTGCTTGGTCCATATTTCATTAATTATAAGAACATACGAAGCATAAATAATATGGCTAATATTTTAGGTCATTTATTTATAACTATTATGACGATTCGTTAGCATATATTCTTGTCAATTATCATCCAAAGAGTTCTAATTAGGGAAAAATGAGTTAAAAAACATATGCCAAAACCCTATTTTGGTCCCTTATAATCTTTTTTTGTTTCAATGTAGTCCCACTTTTATTTTTGGTCTCAATTTGGTCCCAAATTAATTAATTGGTTTTAATTTAGTCCCATTTTAATTAATTGGTTTCAATGTGGGACTTCCGTCCAAATTATTTAAACGGAGTTAACTTTTGGGCATGTGAATGCCACGTAGATGCATACGTGGATGCCACGTGGATGACATTTTTTTGAAAACACCTGGACCCAGAACGGCCCGTTCTGAAACCAGAACGGGCCGTTCTGGTTGCACTCTTCGTGTGTTAATTTTGCAATTGAAACGGGCCGTTCCGGATGCGAAAATTACACACCACCAGTGCAGCAAAACGGGCCGTTCTGGTTTCAGAACGGGCCG